ACCCCACACCCCAACCACAACACCCCCCCCCCCCCCCCCCCCCCCCCCCCCCCCCCCCCCCCCCCCCCCCCGGCCCGCGCCCCCCCCCCCCCCCCCCCCCAAGATGCCACAGAAACACACTTCTTCTTTCCCTATCATCCAGTTAAGATGAACGTTACATTATTCTAAATGTGTCTCATAATTCATTTTCTTCTACTCTATATTTCTTTTGTGTCAGTTTTGACGTATTAACTTTAGCTGGATTACAATTTTCCAGTTCGTTACTGTTACTAATAATGATGTCATTTCGTACATTGAGATACAAATAATATATTTCTTCTTTTTCTTTCTTTTCTCTACTAACGTAGTACATATTGCTGACATTACTTGCGTTTTTAATGATATTCTTTTACGTTTCGAAAGCGCAATGGAAGTGAAACTAAGTCTTGAAGGAAAGTGGTGTATGAGAAGGACGACTTCGTGTGCACTCAATGAATATTTTAATAGTGAGTATTGGACAAAAACTCTTTCGTGCCATGCTTATGCTTAATATCAAATCTTATATCTTCCCATTTATATGTTTACATTGGGTGCGGGAAACCTACCTTATCCGCCCTCCTCCTTTACGAATGAAAAACGATAATATCGAACTCAATACACGGACAATGTTTCGAAGGTTAAGAAGTTACTACTTCTAATATTTTTCTTTCTATTCACAGTAGTGATATAAAATAGTAGCGTGAAAAACCAACCAAGAGCACTGATTCTAACTGCAACCAACAGAAAAATTTACAACACCGTCAAACCAAGAACAAACCTAAAACATTAAAGACGTTGCAAAAATTCAATATAAATGAACGAACATATGGAATGAAGCGCTTAATTATTTGAAAAAACGAACTCCGCAGAAACAAATACCGCTAATAAATCGAGAATTTTGAAGAATCTACAGGAGTAGACAGCATGTCTAAGTGAAACACTATGTATGTGAGTCTTATTAGTCCCATAACATCAGTCATAAGAAAATATGAGATGAAAACATCAATTAATATTCGTTTATTTCTTTAATCGACAGAAATAAAAATGTCTTTTGGTGTTTTCTTTTTATTTCACATGTCAAACAATATTTTTTCTTCCTTTTTTACTGTTTTATTTCTAGTTTTGTCAAAAGTACACATAACTGTGTGTGCAAATGCAAGTCGGAATTTTCAAGCTCATTTTTCTTTCTGTAACCGCTTACTATCTTCCGTGAGATAGTTACGCAGTATTTGTTCTATAACTTTTTCGTGTCCCGTTATAGTTACGCCAGAGATCCTGAACACAAGACTTGCTTGTTAGATTTTATTGAAATTTAACGAAAATTCAACTATATGTCTGTTTTCAAGGTTACACCCTTCTTAATGAGTATGACAGAACATTTAGCTTTGCGAAACGTATTGGCTCGTCTAGAGATTGATAGTCGTCAGACGAATCCTTGCACCGAATTCAATTTGAACTATTTTAGATGTACGATATGATGAATCATACGGCTATGGTGCCAACAACACCTGTTAGTAGTTCTGAAGATTTATTGTTTGCACGGTGGCTTCCTTCAAGACTGGATGATGTGTCTTTGTTTGAGTCAATTCGACTTATTATGAATTCAGAGTTACAAAATAAAGATTATCGTAACCTGTGTTCCGAGCTAATCGAGAAAAACTCCGCTCCTGTAATCGACGATGTACCACGTGAGAAATATTGTGAAACGATTAAACAGAAAGACTACTTGGGTGGAGCTATTGATTTAGATGCGCTTGCAACACATCTTAAAATCGATTTTCGTTTGTTAATAGTGGAAGATAAGAGAGTTATAGCACTGGCATCGTCTGGAAGTCATTTAAACACAGAAGAATTTGCTTATATACTAAAATTACATGGTTGTGATCGAGTGCTTTATCATCCACTGGTACTAGTCAAATCGAATTCCGATTGTGTAGCAAAATTTTCAAAATATGAATACAGCGTTAAGTATCTCGATCAGATATTACAGTCTACGTTTGTTGCCAAAATTCATTCTTCTTCAGATGGTTCGTAAGCCCGTTGCCGGTACTTTGTTGGTATTTATACCTAGGTCATTTGCTTTGTCTAATTTAGGTATTATACCAACCGTTACTTGTTCGAATGAAACTTTGGAAAAACACAGCGATGAATTAGGTAAGACGGCCTCTCTCATGGTTGCATTGTACAGTTGTAGAATATTTTTTAGCGCAAAATAATTTACTTCAATATCTAATTGTTGATGATACTCAAGTAAATGGTAAGAAAAGAAGTAACGGTATTTTCATAACAGTGTTATACAGTTCATGCCGTTTCTTTTATAGGAATTATACACGAGCACTATCTATCAAGTCATAACTCTTTGACAACGCCGTACACTGATTTAGGTAAGTAGTAAAAAATGAATCGAGACTCTGAGCATAACTTCGATCTCTATTTCCAGAACCATCTAGACACTCAGTACAAACAGAAACGGTACAAAATCAAAGTAAGGTAGCAGTGACTATTGTATACAAGGTTGAACAGATTCTAATGCTCGTTTTAGAGACCAGTGATAGTACGGAAAATAATGTGATTTTGGCGAACAGTGTCCGATATGAGTTCGATTACAGTAGAGTCTGTGGTTTACTTCTGACACAAATACACGAAATGCTCCAAGGATTTGCACCACCTAGTACAAGTTTCGAAGGCAAAAATTTAACAGGTGAGTATCAAACCGAACGGAACACGTTTTTTACGTAGTCAAAGAATGGATCCTGAAACGGTTTCTTGTCCGACATATATGATAGATAATAGAAAAAAGAATCTGGTTTAAGCCTTTTCATTAGCTGATAGCAGGCGAAAGGCACCAAAAGAAGGACAAGAACTCAACGAATGGATTCGACAGCATAGAAAAACCTACAAAAAAGCGAAAGGGAAATACTGCAAAGACAGCTCTTTGTGCAGCTTGGCGACCACGAATTAGGCTTGCTAACAGCTTCCATCTTTTTAGTTATAATGGATATGATCTCTAAGGCCACAAGCCCATTTAATTACAATTCTGCATTCGAAGATCGACAAACGAATCTCGAATTAAAATTAACTACCCTCTTAGAGATAGTCAAACATGGCAAAATCGTAAATGGTAAGAACTTAAACTTCTTGCTAACATTAGGTTGTGATCGTCTTCCGTGAGTTTAGATACTGTACCGGTTGATGAACGGCATGTTGGTGGTAAGTGCCTTTCAAAAACATCGTCGAGCATTCACTCTTTTACTCGTCTTGAATAGAGCCTATGGACCATCAAGAAGCTACAATTCCAGAACTGATAGTTTTACAACAGACTGAAGATTACACAACGTTTTCGCACACTACTGTTGGTAAGTACCGGTGTTTCTCGTGTAACACACAGACTCGGAAAATGTGCTCGTCTATATCTTCCAGTACATGTGTCTGCACCATCTGAAAATTACTTCGCAACATATAAACCTCAAATCATACATCAGCCGAACCGTCATCAGAGAGCCCGATATGTGGCAGAACTTGGCCTCGACGGCACTGATGCCACTGGTGCTTTTCAGTGCGTTCAATCCGGTTCGCATCAACGAAGTTATCCTGGAACTGTAGTGAGTTCTGAAGAAACTCCAAAGTTTCCAAGGCATGACCATCTCCTTTTTTCTAGATTACACCGGAAATGGAAGGACTACACATGGAAGCCATGTTGTGTACACATGATGAAAAAGAACACCCGTTTGGAATCCTAGCGGAACATGCTAAGAAAGACACCCACGATGAAGTTGTAATACAACCACATCCCGATGTTAACGCAAGTAAAAACAAAAAGTCTGTTCACTATCGGATAACACCAAAGGACTGTGCTGATAAACTAAAAAGGTAATTTAAAACTCACTCGTTTCTTACCCGAATCATTAGAGTTACTTGACGTTTAGGTATCCTATGAAGATTCCAAAAGCAAAGTTACAACATCCATTCCTCACAAGAAAAATTATGATAGATGATAGGTTGAAATTGGCAAGATTAGCATTTAGGCTGTGTAAAGAATTAAATGGAAATTTTGTGCCAGTGTCACAAACAACATATAGTGATTTGATTGAATTAGGTATTCTTTATTTGATAGCAAGAGAAATTCTGTCATTTTCTCGGCTGGAAAGAACCATCCATTTCTCTCTCGTAGTTTTTGGAGATCTGTCAACAACTCTGTATCACAGTTTACAGCCCGACAAAAATACAGTCAATCCAAAAATAAAAGATCGTCTTATGGATTTGTGAAAGCTGAATAATTTTTGATAGCAGCACGATATTAACTTTCTGATTTCAATTCATCTAAAATTGAAAATAGAACTTTTTTTGTCATGCTTCCATCGAAAGTTTCCTATTTGCACAAATACATAAATCTTTTTTCCCGGACATACTGTAAATCCAATATTCTTTCTGATATGAAAGCGAACAATACAACGCCTTTGCATTTTTGTGCTTCTTCTAGGATTTGGTGATCCGAAACCCGGTGAAATTAAAATCAAACAACTATGTAAAAATGGCGGAGAGGTGATCGAAATACCATTTACTGGTGGAACAATCGCTAAAACAGGTGAATACGAATGTCAATCGGTGTGAAATAGAAAAATATCTCTCATTTGCTGTTTTTTTTGGCAGATTTTGAAGTTATATTGAATGATCGCCGATTACGCAATATCGATTTCAAAATACCAAATAAAACTATTACATTTAAATCACCTGCACAAACGGAACCAGAACAAAAATCTCTACATATTGTAGTGCGAAAGGAAAACTCCTATGAATCAGTTATGCAAAAAGGTGTCATTTATGATGTAGCACTTGATGTTAATATTCCCTATGTGTAAACACGAAGGTGAGTACCTTTGTTCTGTCATCGTCGCTATAACAATAATTTCGTTCTCTTCTCCATTCTCTTTAGAATATCATGATACACATAAATACAAATTGAGTATGGTGTATAAGAAGGACGAAAAATATTTACCAAAGAAAAAACAGAAAAAATAATTACGCATCGATAAAAGGATTCTTTCTCTTTAAGACTAGTGTGTTTCTTTGTACAGACTTTTTTCAAAAAAATACAGCAGCGAAGATATACAATGTGTTTTCAAAGCTAACATGTTGGTCGTATATTCACAAGAACAGAAGACGCTTAAAGCACTTACGGATATGCAACATCATCTGTGTACGACATTTCTATTATTTAAAAGCTCTAATTGGCGTTGTGAGACCGGTTCACGTTGCACTCGTCACTATCTTTTCACTACCGCTAACTGCGTAAAAAAGGGACTGATTCAACTTCTCGTCTAATTCAACTCCAATTCACACGTCGTTATAATACATAAGACTCGCCGGTTCATTTGTCTTTTGCAAACATCTTTAAGAATTTGACCAAGACACTGCTGTTTATCGGGTGCACAATCATACCATATAAGTTACGTAGCTGCAAACAAGTTTATAAGTTTTAACAACCCAAAAAACTTACCTCAGTGTAACGGTTTGCTTATTTCCCTTTTGTCGTTTTGCAGATTGGCAGAAGAACGTTTTTATACATATTTCTTATCAACATACAGACACATCCTCTCTGGTTAAAATAAAAAGTAAGAAAAAAGCATATTTATATATGCATAAGTATGAAAAAAGCAGTCGGTTTTTTTCCATTTCAAGTAGGAGAGAAAAAAGGTTGCTGTCTGTTAAAACATACAGATAATGCAGAATGTAGCACAGAACAGAACAAAAATTCGATGTATGAGAAATATTTATCTTGCGTCATGAAAAAACCAACTAATCATAGAGTGACAGCATGGCCAAAAGATGAAGTGAACGATCCGTGTCCGTTACACTGCGTTAACAAAACGCCATCTTTAAATGATGTGAGAGTTCTCAAGATCTGCGGAAAAGGGGAATTCGTACACATTCTTTGATACATCGAAGAGGTAGTGGTAACATGATACTGAACGTTCTCAAAAAACCTTGAATTCAGATGTTTCATTGGATAGCTGGATCAAAATTATTTAAGAACCGTGAACGTTTTCTACAAAACTCCTGAAAAAGTGAGGCAAAATTTATTCTGCAAAACCATTGCGATCGACACTTGGATATTGTGTTGTCAGATATTGTAGAGGTCGTACGTCTACCACAGTGAGACGAAAGACCATCCGGTCTTCTGTTTTGTCCGGCAAGTCGAATTATAAAGGGTGGTCTTCTATTGCAGTCAAGTTTTTATCACCTGCTAGTAGTACAACGGTAACCTCCTACATACTTGAAGTTCATCCGCTATCAGAAGGACATTTTAGCGAAACGTTTTTGAAAATTGCCCTATAGGTAAATAAGGCCATTTTCCAATTTTTTTTGGCGGACATAATAGACCAATCGTCTTCTATTCTAGGGAGGGAATTAGACGACCATGGTCTTCTATTTGGCTTTCAAGTCATATAATCAGCAGCGATCTTCTAATAAGGGATGATCTTCTATTATGGGACGGAGGGGGCACATTACTCGTACGTTTGTGTTGTCAATTTCTTCCTAATTTCCGACGTACATTTTTTATCGTCTTATCTTTTTTAAATCGAAAGAACACTTTTGCTGATCGGTATGTTTTTTCAAGTATCTTGTCCACAATGGTAGAGTATTTGGCCAGCGATGTATGTGTAAAAAATGTATATGAAAGACTCTAGAAGGCGTTAACACAGAAGGCTTCGTAATTTAAATTTCATTCGTTAGGGCTTTAAGATTGAACAAAACTAAATTATCCATTTTGTAACCTAAAAGAGCTGTCCTTTTAGCTGTACTTCAAGTTTTTTTACATCAAAAACCGTCCCATGACAAAAACTTTTCTCTGTTTTTTGTGATCTTTTTTTTAATGAAACTGGATTTTGTTTGTTTGTTCTGCATTTTTGAACTTCCAGTAAAAGTCGTACAATTTGGTCAAAAATAAAACCTTTAAAGTATAGTTTGTTTTATTTTTAATAGAAATTATTTATTAGCTTAGTCAGTTTAATGGACAAAAGTTCAGTTTTTGTTTTTCACATGATGGAAGAAAAATAGCAACATTCGACCCTGTTGATCGCTTATCAAGAAACCGAGTTATATGTTATATAATCTGATATAAACGAGTCATAGGAATGTGATGAGAAATAGTAAAGTAATGGGACGGCACCTCTATATACTGAATCACCTATAAGATGGACCATATTTAAGTTTCTGCGATATATCTAAGGAGGATATAAGGACAACATGATTTATCTAAAAACTTCAGAATTTGTCTATGACTTCTTGATGTGTGAACAATGTAAATTTGTGTTGTATAAATATCTTTCAGACTGCGTCTAAGAGTTCTGCAAAACAGATAGGTACTACTCAGCTCAAAACTTCACCAGTAAGAGATTGTGACTAACCCACAGTTTTACTGCTATGGAACATATGAAAATTCAACACTCAAAAGAAAAATGAAAAAATGCTCGGAGGAGAGTTTGTACTGGCACCGCTTGCTCACCAAAAGAATCGTCAATTAACCGTGGATAACCGAGCATTTTGTGCCGATTTGTGGTTAACTGCGGGGGGTACCCTTAAGGCCAGAGCACTTCATTTGTCTCAGCCATTTACTGGTTTTCATCAACATAAAGCGACTATTTCAACATTTTCTTAGATCTGCCGCTTTTGTCTGAATCAGAATAGAAAACAATCTGCAGAAGGAAAAGTTTGGCTAGCAGCTTCAAATGATTGCACCAATCGGACTTTTCTCCGACAACATGGAGCAACGAACTTTTGAAGTTTTTTTCGACCATCCAACACCTTTCAAGGTTATAACCTTTATCTACCAGGTAATTCCCGAGAAAGAAGATTCTTTTAAATACTCAGAATAATCGGAAAAAAAAACGGAAGCTCAGAGACCTAAGAAATTGGAAAAAATTGTCTTCGTCTACGTATTCACTCAATGGAATCGCGAGCTGCTGACTCAGTAGTCTACTATTTTTCGCATGATACTCTGTTTTGAAAAAGTCAAAGAAGCAGATACAAACTGCCAAAATCAACCGTACACTATGTTAAGATTATGATTTTTGATTCAGATTTGTTCTGATTTTTGTTCAGTAATAATTGCTAATGGACGAGTTGTTTCTGAACTATTTGCTGTTTCATTTTCCTGCAGAGCATTTCCTGTATCGGCTATATTATGCAGCTACCAGTGAAAAACACAAGATGATGTAAAATTAATAATTTTGTTCCTTCGATAGAGAGTAAGAAATGCTCTTGTTCTATGAAAAAAGTATAATATTTGATAAAGTCTGTAGTACTTTATTACTATACTAAATGAGTGTACTAAGTGAGATGTGTTATTTTCTATGACCATTCTGATGAAAACACTCACAAAAAGTTTCTCTAAAACGTACAGGAGGCTCTTAAAACTAACTGAAAACAGCTTAGTTTTAATTTTGTGACCTCGAGCTTGCTTTCAAAAACGCGCTCAAGAACTGTCACAAAAGCGGATTTACTGAGCAGATAGAAATGCCTTAAGATCGCTAATCGTGGCGCGCACAAGATCCCAATATCTTACGGTTAGTCTTGCTTGAAGAAAGCCTTTTGGAGCAAAACTCTGAACAGAAAACTTGTGCAGAATCGAACTTTGGAGACCTCTACGAGAGATTTTTTCAAAAATTTTCTTCTGAAAAATACAAAATTTTAAAATTTTAAAAGCCGTAAAATTTCATTTAAAGATCAAAAACGAGAATTTTGAAAAAAAGCCATTGTGCGGTGCTTCGGTATTCGATTCTGAACAACTTCCGTACTCAGGGTTTTGGTTCAAAAGGCTTACACTGTAAAAAATAGTCGTAGATTAATAAACTATCAAAAAGGGTTTATTGAGAACAATAAACCTTTTAAAAAACGCTTTTCCGTTTTTTATATCCAAAAAACTAAAAAGCGCTCGTGACAGATGCAAAATAAAAAACGGGCTGGTTTTTTATCAAAAATAAAAAACCTTTTTTAGGTTTTTGGTCGAGTTTAAAATACCAGCTAAAAATCTCTTCAGTTTTTTAGCTAGGTTTTTAGACTCGACAAAAAACCGAAAAGGGTTTTTTATTTTTGATAAAAAACCATCCGTTTTCCATTTTGCATCTGTCACGAACGCTTTTTAGGTTTTTGGATATAAAAAACGGAAAATTGGAATTCTATTGGGAAGGTAAAAGTTAAATTTTTGAGTCTGGGATATAAAAACCTTTGGGACATATACTCCGAAGTGTCTTATACAAACTTGTGAAAGAAAAACATCAAAGACCACACCGATGTCTTGATAAAAAGGAAAAAACGGATCGCATGAATTAATAATAAAGAAAGGCCAGAGATGACAAAAATGCGCGATTAGGTTTACTCCCCCCCTCCCCACTCGGTTTTTCTTATCAGTTTGTAGAGGATACTTTAAAATATATATTTCAAAACGTTCTTCGGGTACTGGACCTGTAGTTTTTGAGAAAATAATTTTTTAAGTTTAGTCTCGGTTTTTTGCTCCATTTTTAAAATTTTATTATAGTACTCAAGCGCGTCGAATACCACTGTAGTATAGAAAAAGTTAGAGTTCTTATTGGGAAAAAAGGATAAATAGATGGAATCAATAGTGAACAATAAAGATGAACTCAAATGATGATCGATAAGCAAAACAAATAGTACTCTTTTCATATGTTATTGAATATACCTAAAATCCGAAAACGGCAAAGTGCAATCTGCAAGAAGAATACATCATCCAAAAGTGATCTCCTTAATATACATTTATAGAGAGACTTTTTCATGTTTACGAACTACCTTTCCAACCGTTTCCAGCAAGTAAGAGTTGGCTCTAAACTGTCTATGCCAA